TGAAACCACATCATCATCATAGATGGGTGCTGGAAGTTTATATAGATTTAGCATAAGTTCTAAATATGGGTTTCTTAAGTTCATGGTAAAATTTGGTAGAACTGGACATGAACAAATTTGTTAATTCTGTAGAGTTCTCCTTCTTACCCTTTCAAAATTTGCTTGAATGAAATTCTAATTTCTTAGGGATCTAAAAAATAGATTTAAGAAAAGGATTTATATAGTAAGGAGTTTTTAAAGAAAAAGATTTTAGTTGTTTCATTTTACTTAAACTGCCAGAATAATAAACTACACAAAAACTGCTTCTTAGTTTCTAAATTTGTACACTTGCTCCCCCAAAAGGAAGAGTAATTGAGACAGGAAGGATAGGGGTTATTAAGAGTAAATATAAACTGATTATTCAGTATTCTCTTTTTTGTTTTCCAGGTGAAAACAAACGGAGTCTCCGGTGTCAAAGGAGAATCAACATTAAAGGGTGACCCATTTGAAGATCTACCACTTAATCTGCTTGCTGTATCAAAGGCTCAGCTATCTGTTCAAATGTCACCTGTTCTAACCCCAAACCCAAAGAGGTTGATTCAGTTGCCTTCTGCAACACAAAGTAATGTTAATACTTTGAGTTCTGTAAGTTGCATGCCAACAATGCCTCCAGTTCCAGCTCGGAGTAAATCCCAGGAAACTATGCGAAGTTCTTCAAACCCATTTATTACTAGCTTGACCAGCACAGATCCTTTCAGTGATAGGACTGCTACTCCTGGAAACCCATTTAGAACTGAATCTCAAGAATTAGAGGCAACTTCATGGTTCTCCAAAGAAGAGCCTGTTACTAACAGTCCTTTCCCTTCTCTGAAGCCTCTTGATCATAATAAAAACAAGCCTTCATTGTCACTTGATGACTTTAAGGACAGTTTTGATCTGCAGGGCCAGTCTACAGTAAAAATTAGCAACCCAAAAGGATGGGTAACCTTTGAGGAAGAAGAGGACTTTGGTGTGAAAGGGAAATCAAAGTCAGCTTGTCCAGACTTACTGGGTAATCAACCACGTTCATTTTCTGGCTCCAGCGTGACATTGGATGATGACTGGAATAAAGATACAAATGTTTCTTTCTGTGTGTTGCCATCAAGAAGACCACCTCCACCTCCTGTCCCTGTGCTCCCACCTGGCACCAGCCCTCCAGTAGATCCTTTCACAACCTTGGCATCTAAGGCATCACCCACGCTAGACTTCACAGAAAGATAATGTCATATGATAGAAAACAGTTGGGTTTTTTTTTGTTTTGGTTTTTTTTTTTTAGTTTTGGCAGGGTAGAGCCAAAAGAATTGGGCATTAGTTATTCATTATGTGCAATAATAAGTAATTGTTAAGTGCACTGATACCTTCCTGAAATACCACTATTTGATGTATACAGAGTTGGAATATGTGTATATCAGAAATAAGGAAAAATCCTCGTTATTAACTGGAGTTTTGGTGTGTTTCTCTTCGGATGAATAAGAGACAGTAGTAGCCATAAAAAGTGTTTAAAACTACTTTAGCAAATAGTCCTCATTCAGAAATTTTTTGTCAGTCTTCTCTGAAGAATCTCAAAAAGCCCACACAACTTTTAGCTGACATTACTGCCAGCCCTTTCTTACTTGTTAACAATTGGTATTTATGAGTATTTACCAAAGAGCTGACAAAGTTATAGTCAAATGGTTTTGAAAGGCATTGCTTTATTCAGAAGTATGTGTGTATGTATGCAGATACATATATACACATTTACATGTTTATAAAACTCATAATTTAAATTCTAGGATATCAGACCAAATTTTACCTAAAAGTTCTAACGAAGTCCTCTTTTCAATATCTTCTTACCAAAAGATGGCTGCAAATGTAATTTGAACATTTCATTAATTTTATTTCCAAAACAATAATTTCACTACATAACTGGCATTTTCTACCATTGCACACCCTTCAAATACACACAATCTTGTTACTTACCACTCTATCACCTCCATATGCTTTTCTCCGGGAGGAGGTTCTTGCAGCCGGAAGCAGCATATTTTGTGGTCATTATTATATGGATGGATATTCTAGCCCTCTCAGAAAAGCACTAAAGCCTTATATTCAAGGAAGGCACAGACCACCAAGTTCAGTGAGAAATATTAGAGTTAATTGTACTCTTTTCTCTGTGTACATTAAGGTATATGGTGGCCATTTCCCTCCCACACTTTTCTTTTTGCTGCTTTTGCTCTGGAACCTTGCTTTTAGCAGGGAAAGCAGCCATCTTCAGAGTGCTTTGAATTGAGGATATACCCAGTGTGTGTTCTCTCTCCCCCCTTAGGAGGCTACATAAACACATCTATGATGCTGCTTTAAGTTTTTAGAGGCTATACCTCAAATTAGCTGTGGATTTTGTCTCCTGCACTGCCAATATGCAACTGATCTTGCTTTTATTAATTTTATGAAGAAGTACACAGAATTTTTACAGAATGTAGTATTTTGATATCATTAAGTAAACCAATCAGAAAACAACTTGAGGATTAGTTGTTTTGTCAGTTTAAGTTAAAAACATCTTTACCCATTAAGACTTACATTAATTTTCCTTTTATATAAAGAGTTGTGTATGTCCACCTAAATTCCTATGTCCACATTTAACCTTTAAGGATGTGCACTGAGGGAATATCAAAAAATAGAGTTCATGGCTAAGAGTATGTAAAATGTAAAAGCACAGCAAACTGCATTGCACTAACATAAAGCAAATCTATTAGGAAAACACTTTTCTAAAAGCTCAGATGTTATCAAAATACTATATTTATAGAAGTAATTCTCTGTTAACAGCCAGTATTTGCTGTTAGAAATAACTCTTGTGAGTTTTATATTGTGCTTTTTGGAGGTTCTAATCATTTCAGCAGTAGTATCTTTTAAACAGCAGTATTACTATAAGCAGTATGCTTCAAAATGTGAATTAACTTGTTGAAATTGTGGCTTTAACATCTATGTGACTAGTGTATACAGTATTTGCTCTCCATTAGCAAAATAATTCGTTGTTAGGTGAACTTCACTAGTGCAAATTGCAGTTCTGTGAGCAATGTTTCCTATTGAATATAAACTACTGTCTAAAGTATACATATCAGCAGCAGCTCAGCCTTTATCAGGAAAATTATACTTGGCAAGTTGCTGAAAATGCACAGAGTTATGAAAGTTAAAGGTATGCTGCAAATAACTAGCCATTATTCTGTGTATTAGTAAATATTTAGCAGTTCTGTTAAAAGCAGAGCAAAAGTTAGACACTAAGGATCTCTTTGTGAATTCTTTGTTCTCTATAGTAGATTGCTGTTTATATGTAAGAATTTTATTGCTTATGTGGCATACAATATTTATAACTATATACTTTATAGAAGTACAGTATTAAAGTCAGTGATATACAGACATGTACATATCCTGTGAAATGTGCTGTCGTGTGAAATAAATAATATACCTGTCTTTACCATGCTGACTTCTTCGCTCAAAAGGGAAGAATTTTTCTTAGCCATTGTCCTTGTACTTTACATATACAAGTTCAGTGACATTTGGGGAAAATAGGTTAACTCTATTGCCAAATCAGGTATTTTAATTCAAGACTTATTTTTATAGATTTCATTTTTCTATACAGTGCTTACTCTAAAAGTTAGAAAAAAGATTTTCTGAGTTTACTAATCATCATTAAAAAGCCCATGCACTTATTCCATAAAAGAGGCCCTCATTCAAAGTCACGTTGGCTTGAAAGTAACACATGAAGCATGAATGTTGAATTTCTGACCCACATCAGAAGAAACAACTGGGGTCACAGGGGAATTAGGACACAAATAGACAGACCAAAAAAGGGACTGGCTAAAAAGACCCAAATTAAGGAGCCAAGGCTAGTGATTTCTGAGTATTGCCCTTTTTCAGACCTGTATGATTGATATTCAAAACAACTTTGATTCTTAAATTGAATTATGTTCGTTAACCTTTGATTAAGAAGTTACAGAATAATAGTCTTTTAAAAAACGTTTAAGATAATTGTAGATTTGTGTGCAGTTGTAAGAAATAATTCAGAAAGATCCCATGTACCCTTTACCCATTTCCCCAGTGGTAACATCTTGCAAAACTACAGTCCTATAGCACAGCCAGGACATTAATATTGGTACAGAACATTTCCATCACCAAAGGACCCCTCATTCTGCCCTTTATGCACTCCCCTTTCATCCCATCCCCTGGATCTCCCTTCCCCTGTTCAGTTTTGTCATTTCAAGAATGTTCCGTAAATACATAGCTCTTTGGGACTGATTTTTTTTCACTCAGCATAATTCTCTGGAGATTATCTTGGTTGTACGTATAAATAATTTGTTCCTTTTTATTGCTGAGTAGTATTCCATGGTATGGATATACCACAGTTTATCTAACCATTTGCCCACTGAAGGACACTGGTGTTCTTTCCAGTTTGAGGCTATTACAAATAAAGCTACTGTGAACGTAAGTTTTTATCGCTCTGGGATAAATGCCCAATTGCTTGGTCACATGGTAATGGCATGCTTTCATTCTAAAAAAACTACCAGACTGGTCCCCAGGGTGCTTAGCATTTTACATTCCATCAGCAATATATGAGTGATCCAGTTTCTCCACATCCTTGCCTGCATTTCCTGTGATCACTATTTTTTATTTTAGCATTCTAGTAGTGGATGTTTCATTGTTTTAACTTGCATTTCCCTAATAGCTAATGATGTTGAACATCTTTTCCAGTGCTTATTTGCAATCTTATTCAGTGAAATGTCTGTGTTCTCTTGCCCATTTTCTAAATGGATTATTTATTTTTTTACTGTTGAGTTTTAAGGGCTTTTGTTGTTTTTTAGACAAGGTCTTGCTCTGTTGCCCAGGCTGGAGTGCAGTGGCCTTGTCACAGCTCACTGAAACCTTGGACTGGGCTCAAGTGATACTCCTGCCTCAGCTTCCGGAGTAGCTGGAACTACAGGTGTGCCCACCACACCCGGCTAATTTTTTCTATTTTTTTTATAGAGATGGGGTCTCTTGCTCAGGCTGGTCTTAAACTCCTGGTCTCAAGTGATCTTCCTGCACTGGCCTCCCAAAGTGCTAGGATTACAGGCAAAAGCCACAATGCCTGGCCAGTGGTGACAAATTTACAGATACTGCAAGGGCTTGATCTGTGATTTTCCACCAGATGATTAATAAGCTACATATTTAAACAAAACTTGATAGTCAGTACATGGGTTTTTATGCAACGATTTTCTGCAGTTCTCATTAATATTATTAAAAATTATGTCCACAGACCCTGTAATACATAAGTTTGTGGACAAGTGATTCTCTTTACCTTCTTTTAAGAAGTTGGCTTGATGAGTACAGAATTGGATTCAGGAGAAACGGGATGACCATATGGCCAGCAGTCTGGAGCTAAAAGAACATAGTAGACCGCTTCTTCCTGGGGAGATATTTGCCAATGAGACCAACACTGCCTGTTCCAGGATTTGGGTGATCCCTGCCTCAACAGTACTAGAGCTAACACATATTCCCCTCTCCCTGGACTCCATCACCCTTCTATCCACTGTCATTCTGAATATGAAGCCCTAGATTGGCTTTGGGCATTTCCAGGCCTACAGTTACACACTCGCCGGGATGCAGTTTCAATGGAGAGGAACAACGTTCCAAAGTTTTGGGAACAGGAAGTAGCAGATGCTTGTAATAGTCGAATCATTTTGTATTCTTGCCCCCTACCAAGAACAAAAAGATAACCATGGGTAGAGGCCTTGCACTATCTTGCTGAGCTAGCGCCCAGTTACTCAGTGCAAATGTTAACCACCTCTTAAGGCATTCCCTTACTATCCAACCTAAAAAGTCAATCACCATGTTTAGTTTTCCTTATACCTGCATTTGAACTTGTTTTGTCCATCTATTTTTGTTTTATCTTTGTCACACTTAAATATAAGATCCACGGCAGCAGTGACTCTGGAGCTGGGGCGCCGAGAAGAAACAGCGCCTGGCCCCGATTGCCGTTCAGAAAGAATTTGTTTGACAATGGCTGGATGGATATTTTGGGGAGGGTCGCTCTTGCAACAGCCGCTTAAGCTACCCTAGATATGCCAATCCCAATCAGCCTCTACGAAGAAGTGCGGGCACTCGCCCTGGTCCCTGGGTCCTGTAAACCAGACCAGCCCGAACACCGAGGAGCAACAAAACTCCACCTTAGCTCGCCTCCGCCAAACACCTTCAGACCGGAAGCACGAGGAGGCGTTTCCGGAAGTGGAGACTGCTGGAGGCGGAAATGACTCTAGGATTTGGAGTGGCTGTGGGGAGGCGGGTGCAGGCAGGCTGCTGTGGAACTCGGGGCCTGTGGTGCCCATCACCCCACACATCCCAGACCTAGTAGTCCCCACCTCGGTCCACCCGTCTCCCTGGGTGGGATCTGGGGCCCCAGGCGAGTCGACTGGGCGACCCCCGCTCCCCTCCGGTTTCTCGATCTGAGTGAGAGTTGCCCCAACAGCCACTTCCGGGAGCGGGGTCCGCGAATCATCTCCGCCAGTGCGCGGGGATCAGCTGCTCTCTCAGACTGTGCGGTTGTTGCCCCGGCAGCAGCTACGTACGGGAAGGGACTGCTGGGTCTCCGCACGCGCCAGGTTCCCCACCCTCGGGGATCTTGGGCTGGCGGCCTCTCTGACTCTGTGTTTAATCGTTGCCCCTGGCAACGGCCATTTCCGGAATTGAGTGCAGATTGCCCACCAGCACCGCAGGCGCCCGAGCACCGGGGTTCCGGCCTCTACGCGGCGGTTAGTGCGTCGCCGCCGTTCGCCACTCCGACTGGCCTCAGCCGGCCGGGCTCGCAGGCCGCGCATCCCGGGGTCTTCTCGCAGCTCCAGCGCCTCAGCCGGGCCACCATGGTTCTGCTGCACGTGAAGCGAGGCGACGAGAGCCAGTTCCTGCTGCAGGCGCCCGGGAGCACCGAGCTGGAGGAGCTCACGGTGCAGGCGGCCCGCGTCTACAACGGGCGGCTCAAGGTGCAGCGCCTCTGCTCAGGTGCGGCCCGGCGGGAGGGTCGGGCGGGCCGGGGAGGGATGAAGAAACGGGGCGATCTGGGATGGAGGAAGATGGGCACGCTAGGGCGAGGGGTCAGGTTTGTGAAGGTTGGAAAAGACTTGCAGCAGCCCCGGTTGAAATGGGACACCGGGCTAAGCGGAGATGAATAAAGAACCAGAGAAAGTAGGGCCCGTCTGGCACCCCAGGCTCGGAGGTGGGCAGCGGACGAGGCCAAGTGTGCCTAAATGTCTCTCGGAGCCAGGATTTGGGGTGCTGTGAGTGACAGAGAAGAGGCCCCGGAAGGGAGCCGACAGACCGGGCTGGAGAGCAGATGTGGTGCACTTCAACAAGCATGAGTGGTGGGATGAGAACTGGGTGGGTTTTTAAAAGGCGAATTCCCTATTTTGAGGCTTCCGAGGTGAAGCAGTTTCCGGTGGTGAGCCACCGGCTTTGGGACTGCCCTTCA